CACAGTCAAGCTTTTATGGCTCAAAACATGTGTAGGAAAGAACGGAGATGCCTTTAAATTGATGCAATTTAGTGTCCCCATGGTCTTCCCATTTTCCTGATGTCATCATCCAGACTGAGAAACAAACTGGAGAAGAACTTCTGATTGTACAACCATTTGTCCTTTAGATTGAATCTGTAACCGCTACCTTTAAGCAAGAATCCTTTCACAGCAATAGTTAAGAACATAAATTTACCAATGAAAATGATGGTCTACTTACTTTAGGATATCTGTCCGTGACAAACGAAGCATCCTAACAGCACTGAAGATTGCCTTTGGCATATCTGAAACCTGCTGATTGATGAAATTACCCCAAGGTGTGATCTGGTTTTCTTTCATCTCAATTTCCTTGGAACTGGAAGCTACATATTTCTTATTCACATTGGTGTTTGCTCTCACTTTGTCTGCAGTAACCCCGTAATCAGTACCAGGGCCTTTTCCAGTATCAACCCCATTGCAAATTGTAGGTGAAGCAATAGCATCTTCATTGTCATCTAAAAGTTTTTTATACTCTTCAAATCTTGCATAACAATGCAGTTCACAAAGATTAGCCAAAGAAGCCCTATGTGCTGATTGATATTGACCTCTTGCGGATGTATTAGGACATGCAACAGCCCAATGATTAAGTTCAAAGCACCTAATGCACACACAAGGTAATTCTTCCAATCTACTAGATGACTTCATATTCCTTAGAAGATCTTCAATCTCATTATCTGTTATCTCTGGACAATATTGCAAATGATGGCCTTTTCTTCCACAAAAGAAACAGGTGATGGTCGAAGAAGCTGTACTATCTGAGACACCAGAAGGCATGATGTGTTTGAGGGCATCCAATCTCCTAGCAAAAAGGGAAGCCATTGCCTCTGAATCTTTTAATCTAGGGGATGGTAAAATGGTGCTCACTTTATATTTGGATTTCTGGTCATTTTGGACTGTAATTTTTTTGAAACCAATGGATGCCTCAATGTCAGTAGCACAATTCGGTAATTCTTTACCAGAACTGGTTAGTGGCTCTTCAGCACATTTCTGCCTAGCCTCCACAATCTTGAGGTTGCTAGAAGCATTAAAATTGTTCTGGGAGCAAGGTATAAGCTTCATGCAGTCACTTGAGCACTCAGCAGCCCCAGCAGCATCCTGGTTTAACAAGGAGCTAGAAGACTTGGGAGTAAACCGAGTTATCCACAAGCTCCCTAGAAGGTTGCTTTTGCAACCAATGCTATGAACTGTCTTCCTTTCAGATGGTGGGTCAGAATCAATGTTCTCACGGTTGATCGCCTTACATTTACCCAAAGAAGAACTGGAGCTTGCTCTATCTTTCTCAATTCCTACTGCCAAGTTGAATGAATTCTCATTGTCTGCAGAATTGGCCTCACTACTTCTCTTACAGGGAGATAAATTCATGGATGAAATCTTTGGCTGGGTTGATTGACCTGCTCTGCCACCAGAAATTGGTTCTTTGAACCTTTCATTTGATAGCAGAAACACTTTGCGGGAGTTAAAATTTTCTGTGTGACAGGCAATTGGAGTAGCATCAATGTCACAAATCTTGTTAGTTGGCTCAAGTCCTGTTTGATAATTTTCATTTTGTGTTGTTGCTCCTAGGACCTTACTCTTTGGAGAATATATTGACTGGAAAATAGATTGAAACCCAATGTTTCTGCACCCAGGATCTTGGTTCTTATTGTTTGCATCAAGATTCTTATCAGGACCCTCATGTGACTGTTTAGGATTTGCAACAGTAAGTGCCAAATGTGGTGTCTCGTCTTTTGATTTTAAAAATCCTTTCATCATGTTTGATATCCAGTTCATGAAGGAGCTATCTTGCTTTACAAATGATGAGGAACAAGGACTTTCATCAAGTTGCTTTTTCACTCTTTTGCTCCCCACAATCAACTCCTGCTCGAAGCCCCATCGTTTTTTGCCTGTAGAGAATAATCCAGTGCTATTACAACTTTCAACACTCTCATGGCTGACATCCTCCTCTTTTGACATCATTCCCCTAACATCTCCATCAGATAAAGCTTTTTCCTTTCCTTTTCTACTAAATCTAAGGATTCTGCTGTTGGTTGGAGAGTGTTTATCAGTCGACATCTTCTTTGGAGGTATCTCCTTATGGTGCTGAAAGTTCTTTTCAAATTCAGAAGCCGATTCTGAACCTGAAATTTTACTTGTTGCAACACATACACTATCACCTATCAGAGTCTGCAAATCATTTTCAGCAGTTGCCTCAAGTTTTTCCAAAGGCCAAAGACTAGAATAAATGCCCCCCTTCATCTTACTTTTTCCTTTTTTTTCCATTAAAGAAACTGATTTCTCTTGTTTTCTACCAGGGGATGTCAAATGTTTCTCTGGAGGTGCACGTGCTTTGCATTTGTTATAAGTATGAACTTCAGATGCCAAGACCATCTCCATTCTTGACAACTGAGTCCCACTGCCAACATCTCTGGCTTCAGGAAAGTTGAATGAAGATTCAATTCGTGCCATATCAGGTTTTCTTTCATCTGTTCAAGCATGAGGGGGAAACGGCAAAAGATCAATCCTCTTCAACTAAAGAAAGTAATAAATATATAATTTCTTTAGCAAAGGCAAAGGTAAGCAAGAATAGAAATTTAGAACGCTGTATATATTTTGTTTAGCAAAAGTACAGAAACTGCTCCGGTGTTTCGTGAAGCGCTCATGGTAAAATGTCAAGTGTGATGTGGAAAAAGGATTAAAGCAAATGGATCTAAAACTAAAGAAACGAAAAAAAAATCATTGCTTTAGCAAAGACAAAAAGAAGCAAGAACATCGATATAGAGTGCTTTATAGCTGGGGTTTAGCAAATGCATAAGAACTACTCCAGAGTTTTCTAAAGACTCATGGTTAGCATAGGATTTTTATAGTCCTGTTCCAGAATATATATCAATTCAACACCCTTTAATAGTATATCATACAAAACATAAGCTGTGAGACTTTCTAGGACATATTACTTTCTCAAGGTACTAAAAGAAGTGAAAAAGATAGCATCATCAAGCACCTAGTGAACTGGGAAAATTGTTTGCCATTGCCTCAGCTATTTCAGCCACTTGGCTATTGTTTGGACAACAGACATATGCTCCTTTAGAATCTACTAGATCATTCTTTTTGATAAGATTTTGCTGAGGTTCTCCTCCCTTTGTGCTTATCTCCTCCAGAAAGCCAGCAGTTCCTGCACTCCTTTCTTGGCAATGTTAGGGCAAAGGGAAGGGACAGATACGATATAAATATAAACAAAGTTTGTAAAAACTTAACATGCCTTGTAAAGAATTATCATTGTCTGTCTGCTGTTCATGACACAACCTAATGCCATCATTATCCCTAGCAGATTTGTCTGAATTATCTATATGGGCAACTCTAGTATTCATATCATGAGACGTGGATATGGATGTATTGAGATTTTCTTCATCTATAGGCTTGTCATCACTTGACCTTGCAGATGTATTAATTTGTTGTGGTGAAAGAATCACATCGCTCGGTCCTGCACCCCAAACAAGGGATTGTTTCTTATCAGAAAAGCTGCAGTCAGTACATTTGAGACTGGGACCACTGTGTGGAGACCAAACTAATTCTGACAGGGGGTCGGTGGTCACAAATGTCATGTCAATCCTTGAAGCTGCATTTGCACCTGCACCGAGATCATTGCTTAATCTTCTCTGAATGCTGCAACTGGAATACCCCAGTGCAAGTTCTAAATCAGTCACTGGTTCTATGTTCTCATTCTCCATATTCATTTTTGTTGGATGACCCCTTCAGTTTGCAATCCTGAAATCGCATGAGTTAAGTGTCAGGTCTTCTTTATGGTGATAACATATAGAATGGTTTCCAAAAGAACAAAATATTCACCATTCATTCACATGCATTCTCCAGAAGAAAGGTTGTTAGAATTTGAGAGAGGAATATAAGAAAATTATTCAATGAAATTTCCAGCAGCATTAATACTACTTAAAACTTGAATTGGATCTCATAGAACTAAAACATGAAATTCTCTTTAATTTGCATTCAGAACCTCAGGGGCCATATATAATTCAAGAATGCAGAAGAGAAGATATTATATGGAAATTCATTTCTCAAAAGGGCATCATCTTACAGAAGATATTATATGGAAATGTGCATGGCTTACATGATATTAAAACATGACACTCTGTATCGACATTATGCATCACTAGTCAACAGGAGGGAAGAGTAATGTTATTGTTATCTAGAATTAGAGGCATCAAGCCAAAGCAAGATATTATGCAAAAAAGACTAATTTTTGCTATGCTGGCAATCATCTGATTCTCTATTCTACTCCATATAGGACATTAGTACTGCAAGATAATGTCATAACTTCATGCATTCCTCCACCACCAGCACCACCTGAATTTCATTTAAATAAATATATATGTTGCTAAAAGGACAAGCTGCACCAAATTTTTAAATGCATTGATGAAAGCTAATGTTATCAGGAACATAGCAGGTTAATTAATAGTTTGGTCTGATAATATAGCAAGTAAGCCACCATGAATATGCAACCTAATTAAGAGAGTTACTGGAGTCATTGCAAAACATCGTGATGCAATGAGGATATGGAGCCCCGAGAAGAAAATCTAAATCAAATGCAATTCTATCATGAAAATCCAATTAAAGCATTCTGATTTCATTTTCGTAGCTAAATGGTAGTCAAAAAGCCTGACAATTTGAAGATGAAGTGGAGATAGAAAATCGTAATATTGCCCAGCATTTGGAAGCATTGTGCAGGGTAATGTTTACAGTCCTTTCACCTGTAAATTTGCATTTTAATCAACATATTCCTTTTCTTCAATGCATTCCCTAGTATTTCCACCACTTAATCCATGCATATATGAGCTCCAAAGCAGTGTGATTCCTGACACACTATTAGCAAAGAATAATAACGAAAATGATAGTGATAATGATATTAAGATGCTGCTACTGTCTTATCCTCACAACTGCATAGAAAAGAATTCTACTGAAATGGTACAAAGAGTTCAATAAATACCCAAAAACAAGATACGGTCCCCTACTCTAAAATATTTTGCTCCAAAATAGATATAAGTTGTAATGTTTGTCTATCATTAAGTTTATATTTAGTTTCTGAGAAGGGATAATTCGTTCAAGTAAAGACTGCATGTAGCACCGCAAAGCCGAAAGCAAGTCTTCATGTAGTTGATTGACCAGGCATTTGTTACTACTAAGAAAGCAGGTTCATGGAACTATGAACACTTTTGATGTAGTTTATTTGTTATTTATATTTGTCACAAGATTGGTTGGAGTTAACCTTAGCATTTTTAACATAAAATGGCTTCCGTTGAAACTCAATCCTGTAATCACTTTAACTATTGCACCAGAAACCAGTCCATTTTGTAAATGTTTCCAAAAGAACACCCTGATAACAACTTCCCCACAAAAATATCAAGTTTGATGACTGAATTACTTGAAACTCTCCATGTATTGAACATAAGAGGAAAAACAAACTAAGAAACATGAACATATAAGAAAATTACAGAGGCCAACTTCTTATGTTCATGGAAGATATCTTCCTAATATGATTCAAACTTTGCCTGCCTCACGAATGAAAAGATTCAATGCATTGAGATAAGCATGCAAAAGAAAGGGGAAGGAAGATAACAAATTATCTACTTCATATGTACAAGAAAAACAGTTATCCACTACATAAATTAACGGCACCACAACAAAGGCAGTAAAATTTATAAGTAAAAAATTCAGAAAGAAATCAAGCAAAGTTATGAGTATAACATAGAAAAACCTGAGGAAAATTAGCAAAAGAAGACCATATTATGTTCAGACAAATGCAGATTTAACAAAGAGGCAAGAGTTGAACTGAAGAAGTTAAAACCCAAAAGAAAGAAAGAAAAAACCATGAAAATTGAGAAATACCCGTGTGAGAAAAAACCCTGATCTATGGAGACCCACATACCTCTTGCACCCTAAATCTATGGAAAATATAGCTTTTCGTTTTGCAGCTTCTTTTTTATTAACACCCCTTGAAGAAGAAAAAGGAAACACTAACAAAAGTAGCTACCAAAAGAAGGAAATAAATGTATATGAATTTTGTGTGAGAAAAGAGAGGAGCTTCAGTTAAAATGACTGCCTGCCATGCGGCCTGTTGCAGCAGTTACATGAAGCCGCCTTCCAAGCTTTAACTAAGATTCTCAAGCATGAGGTTCACAACTCGCCACGTGGAGTCATGGCATGCCAATGGCACTAATCAGGACATTGTATTATCTCTTTTATAGCAAAAACAGAGGAAGCTGCTTTCATTATTAAAAGAAAACTGTTCACATCTACAACGTGCCCTTAACTTTACGATTTTCCTTTCCTGGAGAAAAAATTAACTAAGTACATACCATTCTTTAATCTGCCAATGATTACTTTTGCATTATTTTTTATTAACTCTCAAGCAGAAAGAGAGGGATTGTGTCTTTCTTTTAGCTTTTTCAAGGAGATCAAATCATCTGTTAGTATTAATTATTTAAGATTACCCCATGTTAATAAATTCTTTAATACCTGGCCTATGAACAGGACATGTCAAATGGCTCTCTTTTACTTCCCTTCTTTCCTCTCCCGTTTCTCTGCCCAACTCAAAAGTCAATTCTACATTTTCTTAGGAACATGGCTTTTCCTTTCTTCTTTCTTGGGAGGAAGGCACTACAGATCCAAGGACCATATTTATTTTTTCCTAATTCTAGTTAACAATCATTACCTGAAAACAGTGTTAATTTTGGAAAGACCATTTATGGTAAAAAAAGGTTCGGTGCTTGCATGGTATATATGGGAGTATTATTTGCAATATCTATTGAATCACAAGTTAGATTTCAATGAACAAGTTCAACACAGAAATGAGAAATCTATCACACAATTGCTCAGTTTTTCTTTTTCCTTCTTAAGCACTCAATCTCAGTCACAAATTAAACAGTTTTAAGACCGACATAAGAACTTGATTTTTCAGAAGATATCTTAAGAGGTAGATGAGCACAGCTGCTCTCACCCTTTGATTCTCATTAATTGAGTGTGGGGATGTGCTGACTAGCAAGAGTAGTAAAGAAGATAATTATAGTCCTGAAAAATATTTATGCATGAAAGAATACAAGCATTGCATTGTCGTTATCAGCATGTAAAACACATGTATGTACAATAATGCATTGTCTTCTGGTTTTCTATGATCATACTTCATCATGTGTTCATATGGCTGCATATGCATAAAATGACCATATGGCTTCAATGTATATATCATTTAGTTTCATCTCCAAATTTCATACGATAGACATATGGAGCATAATACGTTATAATAAATTAATAAAATCTTCATATATATGCGGCCTGTTTATTTACATGTGTGTGTGTGGAGTATGTGAGAACAGATAATAAAGCAATTTGACAATATGAATGATGTTGATATTCAGATTGTTCAATCCAGAGGGGGGGTCCCAATAAATTTCATTACAAGATAATAGGGTTAAGCAATCTGGAGTTTGTGGTCCAATATCCACCACCAGCCTCAAGAGTCAGGACCATCTCAACACCACTAGCTAGAAGGTAAGGAAGTGGGATGGTTACTGTCAAAGCTTAGTCTATCCGCTGAAACATGACATGAGGCATAGGAACCATGCATTTCTGATGTTGCAGAATGATCCACAACATAGGTTTCTGTCACCATAAAGGTTCTATAAAGATTGGTTCTTTTTGAAGGTTTTCCAATGATTGTGACCATCGACCTTGATAGTGCTTAGGTATTTCCCGGACAGCATATGAAAAGTAGCAATCATTGTTATTCATGGTTAAAATTAAGATCCCATTTAATTACTCAGTGCAGGATTAGCTGTAACCTGCAGCCAAGCTAATTTAAAACCATGGCCTACTAGTTGAAATGTCAAGTAAACGTGCTTCACTTTGGAATTTTCTATTCATTAAAGCACGGATTCAAGTCATCCGAATTTGTTCATGCAAGTGAGTTCTTTGTTTAGTTAAAATAGGCCACCATGAAAATGTTTTATAAAGAGTTAGATGGAGCTTGAAATTTTAGATCAACTTGTTAAAAAAGATCTTTAGCATCATTTATGGTGGAGGGTATTGGTCAAACCAGCACTATAACTGATGCTTTCAGGGGAGTAGGAATTAGGAAAAACGAGCAGCAGAGATGACAACCCAAGGTTCAACATGGCTGTGTAATCAAACAGTGTTGGCTGATGGGGTGGTCTCATCTCAAACCATCACATTTAATGTCTCTTTGAATAATACCTAATAGTCAATCATAAAAAAATAGGCAGTAAATCAATGTCTTCGGGTTGATATTAATTGGCCTTTCGAAGTGTCAGAGAGGCAGAGAAACTGAGAAAGAACTGCAAAATCAATGCTGCAAATGAGTGTTTATGATAACATGAATAATTAACCTTGTTCAATACAAGGCCAGACCCCTCTTAATTAAACAATAAAGGTCAAACCTTACTGTTTTCTTTAAAACATGGAATATTGCAGATGACAGTAGCAACCGAAGACCTCTCTCACTCAAAATTTGATGACATCTTTTGTGTCTTGTCATTGAGCAATTCGACCGCATAATGCCATGTTGAGCTGAGCTTTTTGTCAAGAATCCAAAAATTTGGACTCAAGCCTTTCCGAAAGGCATGGCCCAGCTCTTGCGTCAGGTAGAACAAAGCCAACTTTGGCAACTTTGGTCCAGTATGCTGTAGGTCGGCATGAGGATTCCAAGCATCTATACCCTACCACAAACAAAGACAACCCCTTTTATCATTCCAATTGGGTTCTTTCTATCTTTTAAGTAAATAATACAAGATCCAGAGGTACAACTATTCAGCAAGTTCATTAATCCACACATAGATGCTAGCAAGTTGGGACGCTTACTATTGCAGATGACAGTGGCAGCCTAGGGCTAGGTGAACACGTCAACCGGCATGGAAATAAGAGCATGTCGGAATCTCGCACTCTTTGAATCACAAACTGCAGCTTGGAAGCTTTAGAATGATAAGCTTGTGAAGTCCTTTGCTGGCCATTTGTTACCCGATCACATTTCGTCGGTTGAGAAGGACTAGGCATTTTTTTGACATCATCATCTGATCTGCAACGACTTGAATGGTTTTTACTAAGTGGAATTACAAACATATTCCATTACAAGGAATAACAAGGTTGGTTGGAAAAACAGAAATACATCTACTTTAATGTATGACCACGGTGGATAAAAACAGTACATAACTTATCTGAATTAATAAGAATTGATGCATTATGTTAATAAATTGTTATGGAATCCTCAAAAACCAGATACGAATACAATGTCCTCACTGGAAACTCTCACCGTCGGGCAATTCTCTGCCCTGCTCCAAGTAACAATGCCTTCCCAATTACACCCGAGTGAAGTCCAAAAGCTAGTGCCACAGTTCCACCCACAACGATCCACTTCCAATCTATCCCACTATCATTCTGCCTCCTAATAACCACAGTTTGATCTTTTTCATCTTCCCCCAAAATGGGACAAAGAGAATCCATGATCTCATCAGAAGAAATTTTTGTGGTAATCCTAGCCATCTGTGCGCTTCTAGACGGGGAAGTGTCTGTTTTCCTTGCATTCTGGTATGCCCTCATGCCAGAGTGCAATTTCTTTAAAGCTCCCCACATACCATGACGAAGACCCAATCTTGCCACATCTTTTGGGATCCCCATGTCTTCATAATGGACAAGAGTAACCTCACACGCAGAATGCTGTCCATCTCCTTTTCGGGACTCCACTGCATCACAAGTTAGATAACGATGTGACTGTCACTTGCAATGTCCCAAATAATGTCGCTAGAATCAAAGGGTTGACTGATAAAGACTTACCAGCCCTGATAACCCAACTCGAGAAGTAAAGCTCCACACGCCTTGGCTTGTCGCACTTCTGCAAACCAGGGTATGGCACCCCCTGGAACATTATAGCTTGAATGTTAATGCTTTTATCACCCTCATGCCAAAAAACACACCGCATTAGATATAATAATTTACTTAATCCAGTATTTAAACCATCAAACACAAACACTCATGTGACATTGAACAGGCTCAAGAGACTGGCCATTCGAGCATCTTCAGAAGCATGCTAGAAGAATGCATGAGATTATGCAAAACACAAAGAGATCCAGAAAGAATACTACATAAAAATTAGTCTAGGTAGATTTACTTATTGTCATAATAAATCGTTAGTCATCCTTTCTACCACTATGGAAATTCCAATCATCTTAAACTTTACAGAGATCGAACCTACCACTCCTAGTCTCCACCCCCCATGCCCTGCCTGCTCCAACCCCCCTTTATGTAGCAATACCACGAGGTCCCCTCACAGCAACTCCATAAGGAGTATAGATTTACTGAAAGTTAACAGATCAAACTAAACACCACAACATCATAACCTGTACCTTTGTCACACAATAGTAAGTCCTTCCAGCCTCCCATATTCTTCGACCAATTATGTATTCTCGGTCACTGCAGAAAAAGGGGAACTGCCAAAAGATGGAAATAAGTCAAGGTATGCAAGACCATGTATAGTCTGGAAAAAGATATGTGCTTAAAACTTATGGCACTGAAACAGCATTAAACAAATTTATATGAACCATTCATTCCATCCACCTTTTTTATCCAGTGAACAACCGTTGTCCCTGTAAGAGGGCACTCCTTCAAAATTTTGACATATGCAAGCATAGGATCCCACTTCGGTCGAAACTCATCATCCCAGAAGAAATCCCTAACCACCTCTGGAGTTGCATCCTCAAAGACAGTTCTACTACGGAGAACTGCAGGGCCACTCTGGTAAACAAAACCACCATCAGGTAGCAATAAATGCTGCGGTCTATGCAACCATCAGGTTTCATATAATGTATAATAATACATGGAACTCCATCTAACACAAACAAAAAACAGAAATGGTAAAGTATCATGTAAGCCATCTGGCATTTTGTATCCTTGGAACTAATAACCTGCAAATTTTTTGATAAATAACAATAGCTTAAGTTCAGCCAATAGTCAAATGCTAAGTGACTAATGGAATATGATGCCCATAAGATCTCAGGAAATGCAGTACATAATACCACAGAAAAGAAACTTCCAGGAGAAAGCTGGAAAGCATTCAATATCATAGGAAAGCAAACTGCAGTGGATCTCCCAAATTCCACCCAACCTTCTTTCTCTCTTAGAGAGATAATAATAAAAAAAAAACCATCAGCAAATTTCTTCATAAAACTATAATGTTGTATGCAGCAATTTTGACTTAACAGAGTAAGATAGATCCTACAAGTTTTCATGGGCACATTTTATTATAGGGGAAGAACATAAATAAATCAGAAACCTACCTCAGGTTCAAGGCGCCATGCTTGGTAAGACATATTTGGGGTAGTCCTTTCCATCATACTTTGCCATTCCATCTCCCTATCCTTCCCTTCAAATAAATGTAAGAGGTGCGCTAAGTCATTCTCTGTAACAATATCCTGCTCTCCTTCTTCATCTTTACTGCTGAGGCTGTAAAGGATAAGATAAATCATGAATACACTCATGCATGAAACAGCATTAACCTTGCCAGTAGTAACATAACAAGGTTATAACTACTGCAACAATGAATATAAGCTAGATTTAAAAAGAAAAAAAAACAAATTCTGGAACATACAAAAATAACCAGAGAATTACAACCAAAATTTAAAAGCATCCATGAAATGCACCTTACCTTGACTCAGCAGCTAAGGGAGAGGACGATGGAGAGATAGAGAGTTTGAATGGAAATTCCATTTGATAATAGTCAAATACGCAAGCACTTGCAAAATAACAGGCAAGGGGGAAAAACTCTTAAGAATGTAGTCAAAACTTGTTAGTAACTTATATCAAATCACTCATTGCTAGTAGCTATAACCATTTAGGATTTTTTCTTTTCACCAAACAAGCTCTACAAATGAAATGTGACAACTTTTTTGAGCATTAAAAGCTTATCAAGAAAAAACTACAGATAAGTATGGTAGGCATCATCTGTCAATACAGATTTACTGAATGTGAGCCCAGTCTTAAGTTCTAAAACACTGACATGATAGATTCTCAATGGACCCATAAATGTACCTAAGATTTCTACGTTAAATCCTGATGTAGCAAAGTAATGAAACATGTTTTCTACAATAATTCAATTCTTTTGACCTTAACCATGAGTATCTACCAAATTTGTTCAAATAATTCTGCGGGCTTCCATACCAGTTCCATCAAATAACTTAATGTGGTATATTTCAAATCATATATACACTTTTTTTTTTTAAACTATTTCCTCAAAAGTTTTAGTTGCTCTCTTCCTTCTATCTTAAGGATGATGCTAAAATATTTAACATAAGACTTGAGCACTTCTATCACCATTTTTGAACTCTGTTCTGAATATTGATGAATTTCATGCAAACATCTTTGAGGCATGCTAAATATTAAACTGCATACTAAATATTGACACATATTAGATAGAATTCTCATAAAACTCACTTATAGAGCCCCAAACTTGGAAGGGCTAATCCATACTTAACTATCTACTAGCTAAGTGTCAAGAACAATTTTGCATTAGTAACTTGAACCCTAAATTACCTGCATTAGAGTAAGTTTTAAGGGAAAAACAGTTACTTTAACAACTAAACAAAAGGTTTAAGAAAGGTATCTCCTGACGTACAGCAAGTCAATATCTTCTACAAAATGCATAAAAAAAAAAAAAACTATCCTGATTCCTAACCATCTCAAATATTCATGTTCTTCACATATATAGTTCGCAATCATGGTAATTACAAAGGCGCCCATATTAATGACCATAATGCTTTGAAGTTAATAACCTTAAACCTCGCTTCCAGTTCAATGTATCAAAAGTTTTCTCATAGCCCCATTTTCATAATTAGGTCAAATTTAAGCTTAATTAGAAAGCCTAATTCATATTTACCTTAAAGCAAATCATATGAAATTAATGAAACGGACGATCCACCAAATACGCAGAGATTCATCCAAAATTCTTCAACGATAATAAAAAAAATTGGAACAAAATATAGAATTTTTATAATTACATAAATACAACAAAAAACTAAATAAGTGTACTAATACTAACCTAACAGCATCAGCAGCTCCTTCCTGCGAAATCCTCGCAGCAGGCGACGATGACCGTGGCAACGGAACGGCAGAATTAGAAGCCGAAGCAGTTGATTTCTTGGATCTCCCTTTAATAAAGTTCGTAAAAACCGTGCGGCAAACAGAGAAAGCGGAAAGGGCGGTGAAGGCGAGCCAGAGTCGGCGAGCTCCGAACCCGGGAGGGGCGGTCCAGAGGAACCGGAACTTAGACCGGAGACCAAGAAAAACCAAGCTGGTCCACCTAGGACGCCAGGCCCAGCCGATCACGAGCCCGATCATCACGGCTAGCCATATCGGCACTGCGCATAGCAAAATGTCGACGAATGTTTCGGTAATCGTAGGTTTCTTCAAGAACTCCATTAGATCGAAGAACGTCTCGTCCATTTTATCGCGAGAAAATAAAACAATTTCAGGGGGTGTTTTTCTTTATCGGCGAGATAACAGACATGGATCTACCTCAACGGGAGATCCAGGGAAGAGCATTTCTTCGGAAAAGAGGAGAAAACTAGGAACGTGTTTTGTCATTTTTATTTTGATTTATTTTGAGCGGGGGTTGGCTGTTGATTGGAACAACCTAGATATGACGTGGCGGTGTGAAGGCCGTTGATAGGTTTGGTAACGTGAGTTGTGGCGCGTTCCCGAAAGTGGAGAGGGGTTTTATCGGGGGTGGAGTGTACGGGAGGGTGGGAGA